AGTGTTTCTTTCTACTGTGCATGGGGTCGCTATGAGTCGGAAACAACTCGACAGCACTTAACAACAACAACAACAGTCCCAAGATTAGTAGAGCACGGCAGGCTGCTGAATAAATGCTCGGCTACATGCAGGGTCCAAGTGTGCCAAAAAGCTAGAGACTTTCCTCAAAGTTGTCCCTTATATACTGGAAGCACACCACATTCCTAAAGCAGCTACTCAGCTGCTCTAGTAGATTCCACCATGGAGCTGATTACCAATCACACCATGGGGAATAACTACATCCAGCTGCCCAGACACTCAAAACCAGGTCCAGCCAAGTTGATACCTTAACTACCACACCATCACACTAAAATTGTGTTTAACCGCCAAAACCAAACCCAGTGCCATGGAATAGATTCTGACTCACAGAAACCCCTATTGGGTTTTCAAGGCAGTAAATCTTTATGGAAGTGGATTGTCTCATGTCCTCAGGCATAGTGGCTGGTGGGTTTGAATTGCCAACTCTCTGGTTAGTAGTCAAATGCCTTAGGCATTGTGCCACCAGAGCGCCTTAAAATTGTGTGAGAAACATTTATTATCTTCATTTTGCAGATGAAGAGGCTGAGATACAGACCAGTTAAGTAACTTGCCCAGTTAACATTCTTCTGGTCTCTATTCTCCCCATTATTTCCAGGCAAATGAAACTAAGTTCTAAATACACTCCACCTTTAGCCCTTTTTCCCTGTCAGGCTTCTTAAAACAAAACAAAACCAGTAAGCTGTAGTTTTACGGGAAGCCAAATGGTATAAATGAACCACAATATCGATTTTCCTACTCACAATTCAAAAAATACAATACAAAGTATAAGATCATGAGTAACAAACATATCTTTATAAAGTTGGGTAGAACATTTTTTATTACAAAGTCTTCATTCATTCTATACTGGCTTTTCCAGCTGAAGTTAACCAATGTAATCCAGGCGCTTTTTATTTTTCTCTACTCTGCTAGTGAAAGGAGCTCTGGTAGCGTAATGCCTCAGGCATTTGACTGCTAACCAGAAGGCTAATGGTTCAAATCCACTAACCACTCCTCAGAAGGAAGATTGGGCAATTTACTTCCATAGTGATACCACCTCGGAAACCCAAGGAGGGGTCGCTATAAGTCGGATCTGAGTTATAGATGGCAGTGAGAGAATTTGAGATCCTAGTGAAAGTCTGCTATTCTATTACTTAGGAGATAAAATCATGGGTGTAACAGTCCTAAACATATGTAGGTGCTTTGCTACATAGCAAAGAAGTATCTGGAGCCCTGGGGTGAGGAGCAGACAGGGGCAAGGCGGAGGGGGAAGGTTTCATCGGAATATCAAGTAGCATGGAAAAGTAAAGAGAAAGTTAAAAAGGTTTATCTTGATCAAAATTGTTAAAGTTTTTGAAGAAAGATGGAAGAGTGAAGGCATCAACTGGAAAGATATGGAGCAAAACATCCTAAAGAACCATTCCTCAAAGTGAAAATAAACAGACACACACCTTAAGAACAAAAAACTCAAACCCACTGCCACTGAGTTGATTCCGACTCATAGCAACCCGTTAAGGCAGTGTAGCTGTCCCATCAGGGTTTCCAAGGCTGTAAATCTATCTTTACAGATGCAGGCTGCCTCATCTTTCTCTCGCAGAGTGGCTGGTGGATTAGACCCACCAACCTTCTGGTTAGCAGTCTAATGCTTAATCACTACCACCAGACACAAAGCTTAAAGCTACTGCTGCCCACCTCTCATTTATGAGGTGTCCCTGCTTTCTCTGTGCTAGGACCAGTGTTTTCTACTCTATGTGCATGACCTTGTTTCATGCCACTGCAAGACTGAGAAGAAGCCTTGGTGGTGCAGTGGTTTCAGCTCTTGGCTGCTAACCAAAAGATCAGTGATTTGAACTCACCAGTTGCTCTGCAGGAGAAAAATATAGCAGTCTGCTTCTGTAAAGATTTACAACCTTGGAAACTTTATAGGGCAGTTCCACTTTGTCCTATGTTGTTGTTGTTGTTGTTATGTGCCGTCGAGTCGGCCCCGACTCATAGCGACCCCTCCTTGGGTTTCCGAGGCAGTATCACTACGGAAGTAGGATTGCCCAACCTTCCTTCCGAGGAGTGGCTAGTGGGTTTGAACCGCCAGCCGTCTGGTTAGCAGGCAAGCGTCTTAGCCACTATGCTACCAGAGCTATAGGGTCGATGTAAGTTCAAATTGACCCTACGGCAATGACTTTGGTCTGGATTTTTTGGAGCAACCCTGAGAATTGGTAGCTCCACCCCTTTTTTTGCAGGCAAGGACATTGTGGCTAAAAGCTAGCAGATCTCAGAGACAACGGTACTGAATTTCTTCCTGTAAGAGAGTATCACCCATGTGCTCTTGTGTGTACATAGAGAATCAGTAACCCACTCATCCTTTTAAGGGAGCTCTGGTAGCTTACTGCCTAAGGCACTTGACTGCTAACCAGAAGGCTGGTGCTTCAAACTCACCAGCCACTCCTCAGAAGGAAGATGGGGCAATCAAACCCGCCAGCCACTCCTCAGAAGAAAGATGGGGCAATCTACTTCCATAGTGATACTGCCTTGGAAACCCAAGGAGGGGTCGCTATGAGTCAGGTCCAACTCAACGGCACATAACAACAACAACAACATCCTTTTAGAGTGTCAACAGTGCCTACTGGTCTCCATTCTATCCAGGATTACATGTATAATAAAGCTTGCTCTTTGGTTGTCTAGAATATGTCAGCTTCCACTGCTGGGCAGGTTGGCCAGATGGTTCATGCACCTCCACCTCTCATATTGTGAGCATCTCCTCATAATCAAAAGCCATGCACTCTTTGAACAGTTCACTTCATCAGCACAGAGTCAGAGCACAAAGCCACACAAATACTGAATTCCCTAATATGTATCTGTATGTTTACATAAAAATAGAGTTCCATGATATTCTACCATTAATCTGCCAAATGGTTACATGGGAACAAAGTTTTTCATCTACAATAAAGCATAAATTATGACTTAAATCATACATAATGAAAACAAATGCATTGCGCTGCTGTGGAGTCAGATCTGACTCATAGTGACCCCCCCTTGGGTTTCTGAGGCGGTATCACTACAGAAGTAGATTGCCCACCCTTCCTTCTGAGGAGTGGCTGGTGGGTTTAAACCACCAGCCTTCTGGTTAGCAGTCAAAAGCCTCAGGCACTATGCCACCAGAGCTCCCAAATCATACACAGATGTATAATTAATATCTAATATATGGAAGGGAAACCCCATTAGAAATTTTCAAGGTTTATTCCTACCATTCCAAGGTTGTAGTCCTACCATTTAGCTTACATGTTTAAACTTTATTGTGTTCCATTTACCAGTTCAGTCTTTGCAGTCACATACACTTAGAATTAAATCCTTGTTTGGGGCTTTGCCATTTATTTGTCATTGATCTGAGGAGAGTTGTTAACCTTTCTCTACCTGTTGTTATTGTTCTCATTGTTGGTTTCACTTATAAAATGGAGAGAATGAAATCATGTATCCAAAGAGCCAAATATGGTACATAGTACATAGTAAGTGCTCATTCAAATGATAGCTATTGTTATATAACTCTTTTCAAAGTATATTACCAATCATTTGTTTCTGTGTATACAATAAGCTCCATTAGACGTTGAATTAAGATAGTAAAGTAAAGGATTATTTTACAACCATTAGAAAAGTCTCAAATCATATTGTATTAACAGTTACAATTAATTTGTAAATACTGATAATTAAATTTAAAACATACATCACAATCTTTTACTAAAAAATGATACAGTACTCTGGCCTATAACTTAGATGTATCTATGCCTACTTGTACATATATATATTTTTTAGATACATTGGTAGACAATCTAATGAAAGAAGTAATTTTTTATTTGTGGGATATTAATTTGGTATTAATACATTAAGTGAAGGTGTGGCATATGTAGAAAAAAATTAACATAGGCCTACTAGGACTTACATTTAATCTATACAAAAACAAAAATTTCATAAGATCATGAATTAAAAAAATGAAAAAATTTCTATTTTCAACCTCAAAATGTAAAGCAGAATGAATTTTAAGGGATGTTTCTCTTCTAAATACACTGAAAAATCTGAGGTCTACTGAACAAGGGCAACCTCCTTTGGAATATCAGGCTCCCTATAATTTACATAATGTTAATGTATTTTTCTAATGAAGACATGGGTATTGAAAGAATAATAAAGCATATACTGATTTGTCCAATTAAAAAATAATTCAATCTAAGAAAACAAATGATCACAATGTTAAAATAGTAACAAAGAATCTAAAGATAACTATAGCATCTGAAAATAAATGTTTCTCAAAATAAGATGATTTATAAGTTTCTTTAAAAGTTATTTGGAGTTTTATGATTTGGAGTTTTAAGCTTTATGAAAGAAATAGCCCAATTTGCACAAGCAGCCGAGTGCTTAACCTACTAGACCACCAGGGATTTCCAATATTCATTTAAACTAAAGATTGACAGGTAAAATATCCTTCAAGGAGAAGTACAGTTAGGTTCGAAGTTTACTAAAATTAAATAATCATGTAAGAAATGTTGGCTACATGTTGGAATTAACACTTTGAAATTCTGGGCATTTCTTCTGATAATTTTATCTAAAGTGATTTATTTTAAAACAAGAACAACAAATTGAGAACAGCTTAGAATCTTATTGTTCTCTGCTGATAGAAGAGTATATTCTTTTAATATTGACTTAGCTATAAAATACATATTGTTTTCCTTAGTTACAATGCTTTTCTGGATTACTTAATAGGCTAGTGTTAGGATTTAAAGGGAGAAAAAACAATTATTTGTGAAATATAGTGTTACATAATAGAAGGAAAAGGAAGAAAAATTTATTTGCACCTCCTTTAAGTTGTTATTTGCAAAACGTTGAGGTTTTCATTCTCTCCAGTTAGTGCAATTTATTTTTCTCCATGTCTCAGTAACAAACAATGTTATTTAGACTCTAACCTGGCACGCTACAACCTCTGGCCCGCCCTTGAGCCCCTCCATTGCAAAGGTCTCCAGGTGCAGTTTGGGTAGCTGCAGGGTGAAGTCATTCCTGCTTGCCGCAGTCCGTGACAGCGAGATCTGATCCCTGACCTAAAGGGAAAAAAACAGCATCAATGGTAATTCCCCTTCAGACACATTAACTGGGATGAACTGGGTCCCCTTGAGCCCACTGAGTGGACTTGCATTGATCGCTGGACCTGAAATCCATGAATAAATTTAGGACTAATTGATTTTTCGTTGCAAATAAATCTCTAATTCAGAGTGCTGGGGGAGAATGTTAAGAAGAAAAAGCATCCTCCTGCTTGCAATGAGGGAGGGGAAGAAGAGTCACTGGAGCTCTTCTGATCAAGAGGTTTCAAATTATTTTTTCACAGTTCTGCCCTCAACATAAAAATGAAAGCAGGACAAAATAGTCACAAAATGGAAAGCAAACAGCAGTCCCTGAATTATTATCGTTTTCTTAATAACACTCTTAATGTAACTAGTATTAATTGATATCTATTGGATACAATTGTTATTAGATATGAGTCTTTGAAAAGAAAACTTCAATAATATGAACCCTGGAATAAAAACAAATATACTCAACACAAAAGGATACTTTTGAAATACAAGAGGTTTGTTTGCCTTTTTCACTCTTCTTAAATTGTAGTAATTTTTAGAACTTCAGTCTTAACGATTAAATACACATAAACCAACTCACTCACACAAGTTCTAAGTAAGACAACGCTGAGACAAAATCAGTAGCATTTGTACTATATTTTTGGTATTCGGAAAGGTAACAACAACACAAACACATCACAGAGGTAGCAGAAAAACCGATTCTCAGCCAGTAAAGGAATCACATGCAGTTGATATTACACTGCCACCTTCTGGACAAATGAGAAAATGCTCCCTATAGAGTATAAATGGCTATGTGGAAAGGTTCAGAAACAGGTAGTTTGGTTTTTAATTTCCAAACTTAGCAAACCCTTAAAATTTAAGGTTTTTACTTGAATTTAAGATAAGTAAGTTTGAATTTAAGATAAGTAAGTTCTCATTTTCAATAATATAATTTAATAACGGGAGTTTTCTCATATGTAGGCATATTTTGTAACTTTTTTTATCCTTGAATAGATTTTAACAATTTATCTCTTTGATAGCATATATTTATTTGATAAATATTATACAACCAACTCAAAGACACAGAAAATAAAGAGTTTGTCTGAGGTAGAAAGATTAAAAGTGTGAAAATAATTAAAATAACATCAATTGCCCAAATAAATGTATTTATATCTCTATATTTTATCTGAGCAATTTCAAAGGTAACTTGGTAATAATATAACATAGGAACCTCCCTTTCATTTTTCTATTCTACTTGGGAAAACTTGTAAAACTCTCTGAATTATTTCTTGGTAATATAAATAAACTGTGCATGAAATGTACACATCCCCAAAAACTATCATGCTGTATAGAGCTCCTTTAACCAGCAAACACACAAACATATAATGACATCTTTAATTGTTCATGTTAATCAACGGGCATAAAAATCCTTATATTTCCATGGCTGATCTTAAGAATTTCTGTCAATATTTAAGACTGCAAAACCATACATTATAATGCAATTTTTATAATAGTATGAGTACTATCAAGCACGGTGTAGTTGCAATTCACGATATATATTTATCAGTTGCAAACATACACTAGAGTCCTCAGTCAAGATGGGGATGCTATTAAAGTTACTTAACATAGTAAGATAAATCATATTTTACAAATATATTTGCTTTAGGTTTTATATTTTATATGTATTATGCCATCTCTTGCTTTTTTTGTCACTGATGTGCACACAGATAAAAGAAAACATTAATGTGGATTAAGGTACTGAGAATTTATCAACATCAAACCGCTAGTGTTTTGCCTTCTACCCTTCTGAACCAAAGTCAATAGATCTAAATATTTTACTGCACCCTGGCCAATTCATTGTTTGATGTTTAAAAACTCACCCAGAATCAAAGAAAATTTATTAAATTTGAGCCCCCAAATGAGATACTATTAGCTTTGAAAGTCAAGTTTAACTGCGATATTGATGATTCTCTTTTTTCTGTGACAAAATTCACTAGGGAAATCCTGGATGTCAAAGTACAAAAGCAGATTGCTAATATGGGCAAAGGGGGGGGAGAAAACTATAAGCTATGTAGGTATAATCCACTACCCAGCTCAAGCAATGGAGGTCCTTTCACCCAATTAAAACCAGGCATCATGCTCCATCTGTGAAGGTGGACCTACAGTGAACAACATTTTATACTCTCTAAATAAACTTTATGGACAATATTACACTGGGGCATTCAGCATTTAAAACTCTGATTTATCGTCTAATTAACATGGTCCCTAAAACATTAAGTTATCTTAGTAATTTTTTTAAGACATACAAAAAATTCAAAATGCAGCTGCTTTTGCTAAATCTAATAATGGACATAATAACTACAGCATTATTTGCAGAATATGCATGTGTCAATACTTTCATTTCATTAGAAATTATCTGTTGAATGTTGGCAATGTCAGCAAGAGACAGTGCCCCTGACATGTAACAGAAGCACTATCATGAATTTCTCTACTGAAATTTTAAATTTTCTCCACTTTTAAATTAAACAGAAACCGTGAGAGTAGGTGCTAAAATGTTCTCAAAATATTCACAGGGAAACTTTTTTAAGTCTCAAAAAAGGAGTGGATAGGAATTCTTTTCTTTTAATGGAAAACAGGAGCAAAAGCATCATGTTGAAAGAATACAGTGCCACTACGAATGACAAGCAAACATCACAGTGCTGCAGAGGAACAGGAATGAAAGAGAGCAAAGAACAGCAAAAAATAAGAGGTGAGAGGGGGAGGAGGCTGGTCAGAAAGAATGCAGAAGGCAAGTAGGAATTTCAGGGTGTAAATTAGGATGAACAGGCCTGACTCAACAAGAAAGAACACTGTGAAAGATGCCTCTCACCTTAATGCATTAAAATTATTCATAAGAAAAATAGGACAGGCTCACAATAAAGTAAATAAAATCAAAAAAGAGAAATAATGTGGAATTTCTTTAGGAAATACTGCTCACTGGATACAATATGGTTCTTTTTAAGAATGAGAACCTAAAACAAACTTCTCTACTCTCAAGAAGATTTCTGAGGTCACAATATTAGAATAGTAAAATTATTTTTTTTCCTAAAAGGAAAAGTAGATGCACCATTTAAAGCATAAATTTTAATTTAAATTAGTATTTAAAAAAAAAAAAAATCAGTATGGATTAAATTACCATTTTAAATTTTAAATTACAATTTCAAAAGTTACTCTTTAATTCTGTTTACAGCACATCATTATTCATCATATAAGTAAGATTCTATGCGCTTTTCACTCTGATTTTATTGCTAGAAGCAATAAAATACATAAAATAATTTTCTCCTTTAAAGCAGCTAACAGTTCATTTTTAACATTAATTGTTCAGAAAAGTTCCCAATATAAATCTCAATTGTCAAATTGTATATATTTTTATAAGTCAATCAAACTACAATTTCATAACATTTTGACAAAGAATAAAGAAAAATATCTACATTATTGCATTCTAAAATTTGTACTTTTAGAAATACCAGTTTACATTCTTGCTTTCTTAGTACCTATTTTCAGAAAGCAAGCCTTCCTAATATATATGCCATAAGAAACAAGAGAAAGAGAAAAAAATAAACTTTCTAAAAAGTCAGTGTTATAAAATATGTTTACTCTATTATAACAATCTAGTTCCAGGTTTAAGTGATTCATAGACCAGTGTTGTATTGTTCCCATTCCTCTAAATAGCCATCATTCTGTTTTATAAATTTTCTGTATCCCTACTGTAACAAGAAAAAGCTAATTCTGCTACAGATGTATCAACTATGAAACTTAAATAAGTCATTTTTTAAGAAAACTTGCTCAACTCTCAAAATGAGGACTTATATTTTTTTATCATACACAGCTATAAATCTCTCTGGATTTAATGTTCTAATTTAAGGAAAAAAAAACTCATGAAATGTAGTACTAGTTGTATTTTAGAAATAGGATTTCAAGACAGAAGTAAAGTTACAGGTAAAAAACTAAGATAAAATTAAGAAAAACACATAAAAGAAGATATATATAAGATATATATGGTACTTAATCCTGAACAGATTAGACGATAGAAGAAATACAGAGTCACTGTACCAGAAAAGAATCACTTGTCATTCAACCATTCTAGGAGGAACTACATAATCAAGAACCAAAGGAACTGAAGGAAGAAGCCCAAGCTGCACTGAAGGGACTGAAAAAAAAAAAAAAAAAGTAGAAATGAGGCTCTAGGATTTGACAAAATGCCAATTGAGATATTTCAACAAACAGATGCAACACTGGAAGTGCTCACTTGTTTATGCCAAGAAATTTGAAAGACAGCTGCGTGACCAACCAACTGGAAAAGACCCATATTTGTGAACATTCCAAAGAAAGGTGATCCAATAGAATGTGAAAATTATAAAAAAATATTATTAATCACACACAAGTAAAATTTTGCTAAAGATAATTAAAAAAACAGTTGCAGCAGTACATCAACAAGGAACTGCCAGAAATTTCAGCCAGATTCAGAAGAGGATGTAGAATGAGGGATATCACTACTGATGTCAGATAGATTTTAGCTGAAAGCAGAGAATACCAGAAAGATAGTTCTCTCTGTTTTATTGACTACACAAAGGCATTCAGCTGTATTAATCATAACAAATTAAGGATAAATTGCAAACAATGGGAATTCCAAAACACTTAATTGTGCTCATGCAGAACCTGTACAGAGACCAAGTGGAAGTTGCTCAAAGTGAACAAAGAGATACTGTGTGGTTTTAAATCAGGAAAGGTGTGTGTCAAGGTTGTATCCTTTCACCATAGTTATCCAATCTGTACACTGAGCAAATAATCTGTGAAGGTAGACTATATAAAGAAGAAAAAAGCATCAGGATCAGAGGACGACTCATTAACAACCTGCAATATGCAAATGAGAAAACCTTGCTTGCTGAACGCAAAGAGGACTTGAAGCACTAACTGAAGAAAATCAAAGACTACAGACTTCAATATAGGTT